CTGGTCCCCTAAACCCACTCCATGTCCCAACCCCGTCCCCAAGTCAAACCCTAAAGGTCTCATTCTTTGGAACTTATGTAATCCACCATGCTGGTCCCCTAAACCCACTCCATGTCCCAACCCCGTCCCCAAGTCAAAAACCCTAAAGGTCTAATCTTTGGTACTATGTAATCCACCATGTGCGAGTCCCCTAAACCCACTCCATGTCCCAACCCCGTCCCCACGTCAACCCCTAAAGGTTCTCATTCTTTGGTTACTTATGTAATCCACAATGTGGTCCCCAAACCCACTCCATGTCCCAAAACCCCGTCCCCAAGGTCAAACCCTAAAGGTCTCATTCTTTGGTTCACCGAAAAAAACAAATTCGTATGTAATCCACCATGCTGGTCCCCTCAACCCGCCCCTTGTCCCAGCCCCGTGTCCCCAAGTCAAACCCTAAAGGTCTCATTCTCTGGTCCTCTAATGTAATCCATCATGCTGGTCCCCTAAACCCACCCCATGTCCCAGCCCCGTGTGCCCAAGTCAAACCCTAAAGGTCTCATTCTCTGGCACTCTGGTGTAATATAACTCTCTGGTGCTCTAATGTAATCCACCATGCTGGTTCCAGGTCCCAGCCCCGTGTCCCCAAGTCAAACCCTAAAGGTCTCATTCTCTGGTCCTCTAATGTAATCCATCATGCTGGTCCCCTAAACCCACCCCATGTCCCAGCCCCGTGTGCCCAAGTCAAACCCTAAAGGTCTCATTCTCTGGCACTCTGGTGTAATATAACTCTCTGGTGCTCTAATGTAATCCACCATGCTGGTTCCAGGTCCCAGCCCCGTGTCCCCAAGTCAAACCCTAAAGGTCTCATTCTGTGGTGCTCTAATGTAATCCACCATGCTGGTCCTCTAAACCCACCCCATGTCCCAGCCCCGTGTCCCCAAGTCAAACCCTAAAAAAGCGTCATTCTCCGGTGCTCTGATGTAATCCGCCATGCTGGTCCTCTAAACCCACCCCATGTCCCAGCGGTGTGCCCAAGTCAAACCCTAAAGGTCTCATTCTCTGGTGCTCTAATGTAATCCACCATGGTGGTCCCTAAACCCACCCCATGTCCCAGCCCTGTGTCCCCAAGTCAAACCCTAAAGGTCTCATTATTTGGTGCCACCGGGCTTAGGGACCGTCCGTTATGGTCTGGCCAGTATGAGAAAGTGGCGAACCAAGATTTCTACCTTGCGGAGTTTGCACCAGACGCAGGAGGAGCGGTGAAGTACACTTTCGAAGACCGGATCATGTTCCATGGCGAAACATGCCTGATCTACAAGCACATCCATGGCCGACACCCCAAGGTGGCCGTGCTGATCCACGACCACCAGCCTGTGGTGGCAATTGACCGGGAGCTTGTCTGGCGCGAGGACGGACAGGTTGTGGCAATTGTCTACAGCTATGCCACGACGGGTGAAACGATCACGGTCAAGACGTACTTCTGCAGTGTGGCTTTCATGCACTTAAGGTTGTTTATATTTCAACATGGCATTTCATGCTCAGACATGTTGGCTTATACCGAGTCAAACATGCACAACATGGCCCGTTGTGACTCATTGTGTATACCATAAGCTCACCGACATGTGTGGCCACATGCCAGGAGCGCATCACGAACAAGGTTGCCATGGACAGGCTGCTGCAGTACATGGTGAGAAGGGATCTGTGCAGCCGCGGGACACTTCTGAAAATGGACATCAGAGGCGACGGCCAATCAGCTGGTGTGGAAGCCCGCAGAGTCCTAGATCCGCGGCAAGCAGCGGCCTCTTTTTCCACTAGAACGCTTCAGTACGACGAAAGACCCTGCGGTGACTAAAGGTGGACCAGGCCTGCAGGGCCATTCCAACGTGGGTTGCCAGCTTTTTGAACGTTTGAAATTCCAATGCTTCTTACGTACAGCTTGAGTATTGTACAAGAATTCACTGTATAAGAAATTTGAGGGGCTCGAATCCAAAGCGGGCTGCATATTTTCAGGTATACCAAACACATAGTACTTTAAGAATTTGAGGGGCCCTGGGATAGGATTGCCACATTCTTAAATTACTGCTTATACGTGTGGTTTGCAATTCCCCTTTGTGGTTCAATTTTTTTTTTGTGGCGTGACCCCTTATGGTCTTATGGGATGAAATCGGGCTTTGCAGAAAAACAATTTTTCAAGCTCCGATAAATGGTTTTTTTTCGCACATGCTTGGGCTGCTTCCAATCCACGTAAAATCGATATGTGGATAGACTTCGGGACCTGAAACATTGCTTTCCCCAATAACTTGAAGAAAACTGAGGCTTTGCGGAAAAACAAATTTTCAAGCTCCGTTTTTTTTGGCACATGCTTGGACTGCTTCCAATGCGGTGTGATTGTGAAAGGGCAGACTACAGGAAAACAAGAAAACGACATATTGACAGACCCTGTTAGATGCCCAAAAAGTCCCCCACCGGAATTCGAAGCTCCAACCTTCAAGGCTGAGATCCAAAACGCTAACCATTACGCTACAGGAGCCTTGCCTGCAAGGAATTTTGCTTTCTGATTCTCTCTCTTTGCTTTGGCTTCAAAGGGCTGGGTTTAGCATGGGTTGCAGCTGCGGAAAAACAATTTCGGGCTTTCCACACTGCTCTTATGAAACTCAAAGAAGCCCGGCTTTGGAAAAAAAACAATTTTTCAGGCTCTATGTTTTTTTTTCCACACTGCTCTTATGAAACTCAGAGAAGCTCGGCTTTGCAAAAAAACAATTTTTCAGGCTCTAAAAAAATGTTTTTTGCACACTAACCTTATGAATTTCAGTCAAACCTGGCTTTGCAAAAAAAACAATTTTTCAGGCTCTAAAAGATTGTTTTTTCCACACTGCTCTCATGAAACTCAGACAAGCCCGGTTTTGCAAAAAACAATTTTTCAGGCGCTAAAGAAATCATTTTTTCGCATGCCTCTTGCCAAATCTGCCAACTCCACCTCGTTACCTCGTTTAAGCTCCCTCCAAATTGGGCAGATGCATGCAATACATAACTAAGAATGCCCTAAGAATTTGAGGGACCCTCGGCCTGTTGTGATGTAAATTTGCCTGCATTCAAAAATAAGAATATGAGGGGCCCTGGGCCTCAAGCTTTCGAATTCTTAACCAGCGCTCAGAGGCTATTCGTTTCTATCGGATGAATGTAGGTGGTAATGTGGTATGATGACGCAACTTGACCATCCAACATCATGAGAAGGGCTTGACAGGAAGGCAAACGAGATCAAGCTGGAAGGTGTTTCATCAAACTAACACTGCCTCTTCAATCTGAACTGCACGCCTTTGAACACAATGTGTCCACCTGCTTTGCCCTGCCGTTGTCATTCATGGCAACGCCCGTGGGAGCCATGGACCAGGGCGCCCCTGCTGCCGCTGATGATGTATTCGGCGCGGCGCGCGGCATGGCGGTGGTTCTGAGCGCCGCGGCGACCGTCCACACGGTCGGTTGCCCCATCCTGCGCCGAGCCATGTTGGAGACAAGCGGCGACGTGCGCACGCCCCCAAGCACCGAGAACCTCCTCTTCATCAACAAGCCTGACACCTGCCGGTTGGCCCATCGGGACCCCGGCTGCTTCGACGGCGCCACTGTCCCCTGAGATGCAGCGCAAATTCCAGGCCCCCGTCACCAGCCGAAGCGACGTCGCAAGCGACGAGCAGCACAGGGGACAGGCGAAGTGAAGCACGCGAGCTGAGCGACGTCAGGCGGGTATACAGACTGCAGCAGTTTCACCCCCGGCTGAAGGCAGTGGAGGTTGGGCCCTGCCTCTTTGTAAAATATACGCGGTCGAGCGGCAAGCACAACTGAAGCATAGAGCCTGCATTTCAAGTGGAAAGTTGAAATACGTAACTGTAGCAGAGTATGAAGCTGAAGAGGTACTTGCCGCATCAACAAGAACGACCTTGGAGGACTTATCCAACTTTAGACCCCGCAACGTCTTTCGTCGAACTGAAGCATCTTAAGAAAATGATGGAAAATCCACCAAGTTATGGTAAATAGATGGGAAAATTGTGGAAACATGATGGCGAACATATGAGAATACATGGTAAAAAGAGGTTCAAAACTGAACCATGAAAATGTAGGCGTTAAACTCAACAAAGCCACTTGCGTTTCGAAACTTGGTGGGCTTGGTGATCCCGGAAAACCACGGGAGCACCCGAGTTATCCAATCATATAGAATATATATTTTCTCTATTTAAGATGTACCTTGCTGTGTATGCATATATATATATATATATTTACATACATGCAGATGTGTGTGTATATATATATATATATATATCTGATTGGTGGTTTCAAACATGAATTTTATTTTCCATAATATATAATATATGGGATAATGCTTCCCATTCACTAATATTTTTCAAGATGGTTCAAACCACCAACCAGATATATATATATATATATGGTCGTGTTCCGTGTTCCTACCCCCCCAATGGTATGGGTCCCCAGGTAGCACCCTCTATTTGCAAGCTATCGGCAGCATTTCTGAGGTCCAGCCTCGTATTTGCTAGGTTTTTGCAGCGATTCTGACTACCAGCCTCGCATTTAGTTGGTGCATGCTACCTTTTAGACGACCTACGTAGCGCACATACTCCCTCAAAGTACCTACGTGCTACCTATAGTCATTTATACATGTGCTATGTATCTACTTCCTATTTAAACAGATATATATATATATATATACATATTATAATAGATACATATATATATGTGTATATACATATGTATATATACATATATATGTGTATATGTATGTATATATATATATATATGTCAATATATGTATATATATATATGTATATATATATGTAAATATATGTAAATATATATGTATATATATATGTGTGTGTATATATGTATATATATATGTATATGTATATATATATATATATTAATGTATATATATATATATGTATATATATATGTATATATATATATATGTGTATATACATATGTGTGTGTGTATATATATATGTATTTATATATATACACATAAATATATGTATATATGTATATAGATGTACATATTCGTTTTTAAATATACATATATACATATATTTATTTACACATATATACATATATTCACATATATATATATATACATATATAAACATAAATAAATATGTATATATATATATATATATTTACATACATATATATATATAAACATAATTATATATATATATCCGTATATTTATATATACATATCCGTATATTTATATATATATTTACGCAGTACCACACCCCCACCACACCACAGGGGGGGAGGGGGACAGTACTATGGCTGACCCATGACCATGGCGGGGGGGGAGGGGGGTTGGAACGCTGGACCATATTTATGTATATGTATGAACATTGTATGAGCATGAACAAGTGTTCGCTGATGTGTGTGACTTCCTTGTTGTTGGCGACAGGAACCTTGGTAGAATCGGTGCAATCCCCCAAAATTTGTTGGGCAAAGTGTCCACATTTGGTCGGATGATTTTCTGAAATTGGCTGGTGGTCTTAAAAAATGGTCCTCAATCCAAAAAAAAAACATCGCTTTAGAATCTTTTAGATATGTTGGGAGATCTTTGATCTGTGAGTTACACATTTTAACTCTGAGATTCCTGAAAAATCAGTGTTGGACAGTTGAGGTATTTCCATGAAATTCGCAATTCAATTCATCATGTGAAGATCTCACTAGTTGAGTTGAAGTACAACTTCCCATTTAAAATAAACCCTGATGAAGATCTCTGTTTAGTTTGAGTGGTGAATGTTTCGATTTGCTGCTTGAAGAACCGGGCAAAAAACCGGTCCAACGGAGTGCAGCGATTCCCAGGAGCAAGTGCCGCATGGACACGCAAAAACTGGTGGACAAGACCTGCAACTGGGCTGCTCGAAGTAAGTGACCAGTTGGTGAAAACCTAGGTTTAGTCTAGGTCAATCTTGCATGTGTAGAAACTTTTCCAAAATAGTCTTTTGGTATCAATGGGATTATCTACGTTCACCAGCCAAGAATTTGTCATTGTGTGCAAATCCATCCAGGTAGACATTTGTGAACATGGGGAGCATATAATGATAGATACATATAAACAGGGAAAATTAGAGGGATAAACAGATATATCTAATGTTTTTTTTTGTAATAAGAATAGTGACCCAGATAGATAACTGTTTTAAAAAGGGATAATTTTATGATTCACCAGTGGAATTAGGGATGACCCATGGATGACCCAATTTCAGCCATGAAGTATTTGGGATCGCTACAATAGGAGTTTCTTGTGCGTTCACCAACAGGAGCTCCACGGATACCAGAGCCATGACCACTGCTTATACTGCGCCGTTTGGTCAAGATGGTTGAGCCCAATCATTCGCCGTGGATGCTCCGAAGTTTCAGAAATCACATCACAGTTTGATTGGCTGCTGCAAGCGTTGTTTGACTGGCTGCATGTTCTAGTTTTGCACTAAATGTCCAACTTGGAGAGGCAACCTATGTTGATTATATATATATATATATGTATAATTCCACATGTTTAGGACACTGGTCAGAGTCCATGTTCCACGTTTTTCAAAATGGTGGTAGAAATACCCATCCGCTGAGCTCGGCGCTTTGGAACCGTTGGAGCTCACGAGCGAAAAAGGCAAGGATCCACTGAGGTAACAACTGCGGCACCATGGGCCACATCGCCAAGGACTGCCCCTCCCCTGCGCAATGCCATTGCTGCGGAGCTACTTGGTGATGGCTTGGGGGTTGGGGTTGGGGTTGGGAATAGCCCCAACTTAATCCAATTTATGGCATAAACATCGGGGGGACACATGGGAAAGGTTCAAAACGCATCAAATTGCTTCGAGCATATGATTTTGGGGATGGGGAAGGTTGAAGCTCCAAGATATTTGGGATGCCCAGTTGGAAGCAACGGCAGGATCATTGAAGGAAGTGGTCATATAATCAGATATTCATACGCTCAATTGGCCAGGTGTCTCACCATGTTTCACCAGATTTTTTGGGTGTCAAAGAACCGGGTAAGTGGGGAAAACTTGCACACTGAATCCACTTGTCCTATGGGCACCTCAGGGAATTCTATGAATTTCTCCATTTTTCCAGACTTGTCCTGAAAACTACAGTACATCTCAGCAAACCTGCAGGGTGTTTTCGAAGGATTTCAGCGTTTTTTTTTCAGGCCACGGTGCATGAAATTGCAGCCTGTCCTCATCGGGAAAAGACCTGTGAGAACTGTGGCAAGGCACCGGGGCTGCTGCGGGCGGAAACCACCGGGGCTGGTTTCGGAGTTTCGGACCCAGGATGGAGTGGGGCATGTTACTGGAGAAACTTTTGGGCGAACTTGGGTAAGGTATTGTGTAAGTTTATATAATTTCTATTAATTTCTTACTTTCATCTTTTGCTAGCTGTATTAGAACTGGCTGATCAGCTAAGCAGCTAAGCCAAGACTCTCTGTTTTTTTTGGGCATCTAAGACTGGCCATGGCCCTGCTTTCAGCATGTTTCAGCTCCAAATGAGTCCAAGAATGCCCGGGGAGAAAGTCGAAAGTGGTTGGGGAAAATGATCCAGGATTTGGCTTGGACCATGGACCCCTATCTCGTAGGAGTATTTGGGGTGCAGCAAGATCTGCAGGGGGGACATTTGAAGAAGAAGTGCAGACAGGCCGTGGGACAAGCTGCGAAGTCGGCGGGATTGTGGAGCCTAAAAATGCCTTGACAAATACTTGTTTTATGTCTTGACGGTTTGGATTTGATTTTGATGTGTGGAACATTGAAGACATCCATGTGGAAAAGCACCAGAATCCTATGGTTTATCATCATTTTCCGTGCTCATATTTGACAATTTTCAGACCCAATGTCGTCCCCCCAAAGACATGTCCCGCGGCGAGGATAAAGAGAATGAACCACCGCGAGGCAAGGGAAGCACCAAGGGCAAGGCGGGCGTTGGAACCACTGAATCCATTGGGAGATGGGGAAAATCCCATGGTCCAAACTGCGCCTTGGGGGTGCCAGGGCAAGGGCTTAGCGAAGACGTGCAAGAACTGTGGCGCCCTGGCGAAGAGGGGCATTGGATTCACCCAAGGCTCAGGAACTGATGTTTCGCCAAAAAATTGAATTACTGGTGGTTTCAGAAGGCTGGAGGCCTGGAATGGTTCCCATGCTGGGAGCGGAGACCATCCGTGTGATTTTTCAAGGTGTGCAGGGCCACCTGCTGCGTGATTGCCATGAACCTTCTCAATGTCATTGCGAGGACCTCAGAGGGGCTGGGATCAGGTGCTATTTGCGGATGAGAGTTCTGTTGATCGTTTTCCAGGACTGGTTGGTGGTTGGTGGTTTTATGTTTGTTTCCAGCCTTAAAAGTGATGATGATCCCGAATCCAAACCAAGTATTGGTGCTATTTGCTGATGGATTTTTCGTGCCAGTGAAACCGCCAACCGATGACCTCAGGCTGTGGATCGACGGTTCATGCAGTGGCAGAGTGCCCCAATCGAGAGAAAAGTTGTGAGCTTTGTGGCCTGGGCACCCAGTGTAGGTAATGAAACCATCCAGGATAGGCCATTCTTGGTTGCCCTCAGGTCTTGAAAACGCTCTTGTTTGAAATGTCATGATGTAGTCTGCAACAGCGAGTATCAGCTGCGATGGAAGGAACCCGTCACATTAGCCATGCAAAGTCCTTATTTTTGGTGTCAAAAGTCCAGTTTTCACCGATCAAGTGATCCACAAATTTCAAGAAGCACATTTTGATGTTTTCCTAGCCAAAATTTAGGATGTTCCCCATTTTCTATGGTCAACAAAAACACAAATATGTGTTGCTGTTGAACATCCAACAAAAATCATCAAAAATCTGCTGATCTCGAGAGCTGCTGAGGTAAAACCGGGCACCTGAAAAAGAAGTGCTACCAGAAGTGACGCCACCTGACACATCCTGACACCAAGGCGTTGTTTTGTTCTGGTCGTGGGATTTTCATGGATTTTCAACCAGACACTCGCCAGATTTTACCAGTTCGTTGATCCACAAAGAATTATGGATTTATCGAACCGGTCCGTTTTTGTTTTTCCAAGGGAAAAACCACATGTTTCCAGCCCTTTTTTGAAAGACCTGTGGCTTGAAAGTGGTGGAAATACACCCAGTGATCATAGTCTCAAACACCGCCACTACGTTGTTGTGCAAATCCCAGATTTTGACATGTGACATGCGCGCGACACGTTGCTAAGGGGCGGTTAATGGTTGTAAAGGGGTGCGTAATAGAACCCCCCTTAAAGCCGAATGTCATGCCGGCACGCACTGACACGTGACATAAAATTACGCACTAGCTGGCAGGCTTCCCATTGTTTGAATCGGCTTGACAATTCAATGGGATCCCTGAACCATGTCCCAATTTGAAAATCAGTCAGATTCTAAGGGGTGCTTAATGGTGACCCATGCTAAGGCGCCTAGTGGACCCCCTTAGAGGTTTCTGGTATGAAAACATTTGATTCAACTGATTCAACCCACTGAGAATTTGCGCTACGAAAATAGGATTTCGACATTGGAAAAACACCTTTTGTATTTTTCAGACTCCTGGGGGTAAAACGAATCGTCTAAATGGATTGGCTGGTCGTTGACCAGGAGGCAGTAAAACATAGTAAAACTAGACCCTGAAAGTAACTGGCCTGCACACTTAATGAAACCAAATAGTTCTTACTTTTTGATGTTGTGCAGTCATGACTTTCGGTGCCCAGGTGACTTTATGGCCTGAGGGTTTGGCGCCTCACTACGCGAAGGTGGCTGAAGGTTGGCTGGAGTTTTGTGCTCTTTTGGCCGATCTTTCAGTCTCCTACAGCAAGATATGCCTAACACAGGACTTGCTGATGTTTTTCATTAGATCGTTCCCTAAGGCCCCTGTGAAGATTGGAACAGATCTTCGCTGGGCCCGACCGAATATGTTCCAGTTTGAATCCGGGCCGCGCGCGTCGCAATTGGCCCCAGGTCGCAGTTGTGGAACTGAACTTACTCCCGGTATCTATCCTTGCAGAGATTTTTGATGCAACTCTTTGAAAGGTGACCCTGCATTTTTTTTTCAAGTTGAGTCCTCAGGTTGTAAGTTTGCCATCATGCATCCATAGGGCTGTTCATATTTGGACCCTTGGAGCAAGTTCAGAGTGAACCCTGGACCAGTTCTCGGATTTTCTCGACTTTGGAGGAAAAAAGATGGTGATTTCATGGCCAAACATATGGATGGATTGCACCCTGAATGTGTAATCAAAATGAATCATCTCACATCCAGCAGCTTGTAGAGAAAAATGCAACGTGGCCGAATTCTGTGAACTATTTCTGGTTGGTGGTTTGGAACATGATTTCTTTTTTTCCATATATCGGAAATGTCATCATCCCAACTGACGAACTCATATTTTTCAGATGGGTAGGTCAACCACCAACCACTCCCGTTGTGTGGCTTCCGTTGCTCCCGTTGGGATGCACCCGTTGGGAGCACCGTTGCAGTTTTAAGTCTTTGGCAACCGTTGGCAAAGTAGCGGCACACACCGCTATATGATTATTGATGATTATTGCAATATCAAAAAGTACAATACACATAGAATCATATTACATACATCATATCAGGAGTTCCGTTTTTTTTTTTGCGGTACTATCTAGTACAAGAAGCCATACCGCCGATGATGACAGTTTCGCAGGAGAGGCGATTGAAGCTGGACTTGCTGTTGTGAGGCTCCCAGCAGGATTCAACCAGAAGGGGCAACAAACCGGCTCTTCAGAATCGGAGTTGAAGGGTTTCACCAAAAATAAGAGGTAAATACCAGCAGGAAAGTGGCTCATATAATCATGTTTAACATTGTTTAACCATGACACAATATGTTAATTTTCAAGCTCCATCGTTTTAAGGTGAACAAAGAAATAGCATTGCCCTGTTGGAATGCTTTTTGTCAACTGACGGCAGGTGTGGGGCACAACCACTTCTGAAGCCTTTATTTCCATACGAGGGTTGTTTTGGTACATGTTGCCATTTGAGCACCACTGCATGCCTCAAAGCATGAGACTCTTTCATATGAGAGTTGTTCTAGGTTGCCTTCAGTTGTTGCACACATTCATGGGGTAGGCACCACATACTCCAGAACTATCAATTGAAATAAGGCCTGACAGATCGCCATCTATACCTATGCAGTCCACTGTTTGCAGGAAAAAACTGAGACCAACATTCAGTCTACTTCATCGGATTTGCTACTCGCAGTTTTCCCAACAAAAAATCAATAGCTGCTGTTTCTGCGTCTTCATCTCCTCGTTCATGTTGGCGATTCCTTGGCTTTTACCCATCCCCACTTTGACATCAACATGCTTTGAATGTCATCTGGAATGCTGGGTAAACCTTAGATAGGCAGCACAAAATTGATGTACAAAAACCGGACCATGTTTTTCAAGGTATCCAACAGTTAGGGAATGAATGATGCTTGTTTGCGGCCACTTGATCTTCTACCTTTTAAAAGGGGTCCTCAAACAGATGCCTTTCAACGTGTTTCATGACTTGCGAACTATAGTGACATATAGTGACTATATTTCCCAAGTGAGAATTCCCCAATTATATCCTCATGATGTCCCCATTTTTTCCATGTTTCACCGTAAGAAACCTGAGGCAGAAGGCGCTTGGACGAAGCAAAGGGTTGACCTTTGGAGCCTGGAAGAGCCATGCTGGGAGCCATGGAAAAGCCATGGAAAATCCAGAAGTGATAATGATACAGTACGAACCAGAGCTAGAAATGGGGTACCCTCTGGTAATTTAACATAGCTATTGAAAATACGTGAAAATACCCCATTTATAATTGATTTACCTATTCAAAATGGTGATTTTCTATAGCTATGTTAGTTTACCAGAGTGTAGGTGGGATTGACCCCCATGACAAGATATGACGAGTATGTACAGTCCACCTGGGCGACGTCGGCAGGGCATTCGCCATGTAGCAATGGTGAAGGACCCCCCTAAACGGCTTCCCATGGCGAGGTCAATTGTTTTTCATGGTCGATTTTTATCGATTTTTGGGCTGATGTTTTGCACTTGAAGCATGTTGAAGTGTATCATCATGGGAACAATTAAGGGAAGCTATTGTTAATGGGAAGCTTCTAGCCAATGTCGGCCTAATGGTAAAATGCTGGCATCGATCCGCAATTGATCATCCCGCAGCACCGAAGCGGCCGGCCCTTGAGGTAGCTCTGTTGCGGCAGGCACTGGTTGTAGACTCAGCGGAGAGGAGAGTCCTAGGACCAGCAGGGCAAGGTGATGCTAGGTGAACATCCTATCACATCCTAATTATCACATCCTATCACATCCTTACATTCACATGAATTTTGCCAGGTCTTTTCACAAAAATCTGTGAATCGTCAAGACGTGCAAGAACGGTAAGGTTCAATCTGACGATCTAAGGCGCAGCAACGGCGCAGCGTGTTGGCCGCAGTTTGCCCGTCATGTTGGGGCAGTGATGGCAGGGAGCAGCAACAGACTGGATGAACATCAGAAAGTGACTCGGAAATCTGGATGTTGAATGTTATATAATTATATATATACATGATATATATCTATATAATTACACATAATACATTATCATATTGTTTTTCTGCTATGTATTGTTTTCTCCCCCACTATGACCAGGGTAGGATTTTTTCGCTATTTGAATGTCCGAGGATTCACCGTTTTCAATCCTTCCAACATCTTCCAACCATGCTATTTGTTTTGGTACAA